CCCCCCCCCCCCCCCCCCCCCTTCCTTGGCTGACTCGTCGCGCCCACGTCCGCCGCTTTAGTTCAAGTTGCTGCCCAGCCTGCCACAAGACGGCTTAACGTCGGCAGACTTGCCCAGCACCTTTAACAAGAGCGTCATTCCAGTCTCGGAGGCGGGTGCGGTGCGAAGGTTGATTCACACCAGGGTAGGCGATGGACCGAGAATCTTGGGTGCTGGCAGCAGCTCTACGGACGACGCGCATCTCATCGGACAAGATGCGCTGCCTATCAGACTGCAGAGGGTGAAGCGGGTATAAAGCTTGATCATCCCCCTCGACGCGTCTTTGTGTGGGGGCAGCGGCTGGCTGCATCAAGATTTCAGAACGTGTTTGGGCGTCACACTCGCCGAATCCCCAATGGTGAATATACACATGCATGTGCCCACGAGAAGGAAAGATTACGTGTGACTACTCGATCGGCGCTGCTCCTCGGCGTGCAGCTGTTTGAGAAGAATGTGACTTCGACCAGACAATCTCCAATCCACCCACTCCTTTTGCTCGACGACATGCTCGTACGACATTTCAGGCCTAGCGGTCAAAGGTGCCCGTCGTTGCGCTTCTTCTCCTCCAAACTTTTCCACGACGCAATCCCACCTTTGCAAGACGCAGCTCGGGTCGTTGCAAACTCTGCGCAGAGCCAAGAGGATGGTGTGAAGTTGAGAAGCGGCTGGTGCGCGCGCAACAAGAGGTGCAGGTCCTTGAGATGCTCGATCTTTTCGAATTGCTGCGGTAATCTTGACCTCTAGAGAGCGTGAGCGTGAGCAATGATGCGCGCTCTGCTGCTGCTGCTGCCTGCTGGCTGTTGGAGCTTCCAGCGAGCTGGTGGACAACGCGCCTCTTATGCGTCTCCTCAGCGCTCGATCCGAACGCACAGGGTAGGCCATAGCGGGGCTCATGTTGAGAAAGGATTGGAAAATGGGCTCCAAATTCTCCAGCGTCCAGTCCGAGCGCGCTGCAAAGCTTTGCATCGCCAAAGTACTACCCTGCCTCATTTCTTCTTCTTCTTCTTGCTCGCTGCTCTTTCGAGGCGAAGAGGGCACTCTGACACCGTGCCTGGCAAAGCCCTTGAAGAAGGCGAGGTACTCTGCCATGCTCGGCTGCGCATCGCGTCGCTTTCCAAACTCGCGCGCCACTTCGATTTGCTCTTCGCCGCTGTGCAAAGCAAGTTCAGCGACCGTCTCCGCGTCCGTCTCCGCGTCCGCGGCTGCCTCCGCGGCAAGTTGAGAGCGTCGATGGCGCGCAGGTGAAGAGGAGCGTCTCATGTCGTTGAGCACGCTCAAAGCCGTATCAAAGTCTCCCCTGAACGTGGCCAAGTTGAGCATCATGCTATACGTCGTCCTGTTTGGAGTCAAGGTGACGCGCTCGCCACCTAGCAGATCCTTGCTCGAGCTGTCCTCTTCGCCCCTCAGCGCGGCATACGTCTGCTTGACATCTTTCCACGTAGGCCAAACGATCTCTCGCGCAGTCCTAGCCTCGTCATTTTCAGCTGCGAGAAACCATTTGGGCGGGCCCTTGTCGCCCGCACTAGGCGAGACATTTCCCGAGGCGGGAAAGTAGTGCGGCGACCACCTCCTCCAGCTGGCGTACCTCATGCTGGCATACATGACCCTGTTGACGTGATGGATGCTGAGGATTCCTCGTCGCGAGAACTGACCTAGCAGCTTGCGCACTGGTCCAAATGGCTCCTCATCCAACGTCGCAGTCACCTGATCATCTCCGCGTAGAATGCTGCCATCCCAGCTGCGCAGCCTCGCTACGGCTCTAGCGCGCAAAGCAGCAAGCTTGATCTGCATCCCGAGCAGGACCATGACATCTTTTTGGGACGCATCGATGCGCTGAGTGGGCCAGAGGGCCGCAAAGAGACTGGCAGCATCGTGCGGATCGAGCGAAAGGGATGGTTGGTCTCCCTTTGAAGCCGAGTCCGGCTGCCTGCGTGTCGCAGTGGCATCGAGGAGGTGCAGAGCGTGCTTTATGCGGTCAGCGCGACGGTGCACCTGGGCCGCCGACATTGCCGGCGATGCGCCGTGCGGGGGCGGCTGAGCGTACGCGTCCAGATCCACCTCGAGACGTAGTCGAGTGATGGAAATCAATCTCTCTTTCAACCTGTGCTGCTCTTCCAACGATAGCTCTGCTTCGCGCAACTCTTCAGCCAGCGATCGATCCCACACGCTCAGAGCACCCTCTATCAAGCCCAAAGCAGTGCTGATTTGGATGCGCCACGAACCACTTTCCTGCCGCGACGACTCTGCAGCGACCGATCGACCCTGCCATCGCGTTTCCTGTTGCGTGGCCCGACGCGCTGTGGGTGTGAGAGTGGGAAAGAGCGCTTTGAGACCCACTCGCATGCTTTCCTTATTCATGCCCCTGCGAGAACGCGCAAAGGCTAGCGCAGTGACTTGCCTTGTCAGAGGAGCATTGAGCACCTCCAGCCAAGGCGCGACGATGGGATGGACATCCACGTTGTGCGATGCGACGGGTGTTGTGCTGTTGCTGTTGCTCACATTGTTGCTGCTGCTGTTGCTGCGTCCAAGACCGTTGGTCATGCAATGGACCCTTTTGCGCGCTGTGGCCAATCCTCGCTCGATGGCTGAGAGGACGGCGATGACTCTGAGGGCAGATCGCTCGCTGATGCTCTTGTCACCGACTATACGAGCATGCAGCGTGGAGGCAATGTATTCCCAATCCACATTGCCGTGCGCATTGCCGTGCGCACCTGGACGGAATGCCGAGGATGACGGAGGAGGAGGGGGAGGAGCGAGTCTTGCTTTGCCGCTGCCCTTGCCCTCGCCCTCGCCACCGCCACCGCCACCGCCACCGCTCCAGGGCAGCGCGACGACGTGCAGCACAGCATTGAGGGTGCCGGGTGCAATGTCTGCTCCGCTGTTGATGGCGTCCCTGTACGCGCGCCACACGACGTCCGGATTGGGATAGCCTACAGAACCTGCCCTAAGGCAGCGCGATAACATGTCTACTGCTGCTCGCCATTCCTCCTCCTTCCACGCACGCGATGGGACTGGACTTTCTGCAAGGAGAGAAGGAAGGCGAGGTCTGCTTTCAAGAGGACATTCTCGCGCGTCCATGCTGATGTTGGCACGAGGTGGGGCAGCGGGCAGCTGATCTTCCAGCGTCACCTTGGACGTCGTCGCTTGGGTATGCGCCAGACGATGAGCAGACATCCCCCCCATCCGCGTCCGCATCCGCATCCGCATCCGCATCCCTATCTGTTCATCCACGCCTCCTGACCCTGAGCCCATTTGTCTGCCTTTGCCCTTGTCCAGTGTGGAGGTGACTGCGTGAGGGAGGAGAAGGAGGAGTCGGACATGATTGCGGCTGAGCGTGACTGGTTTCGCAGCGCGACTGAATGCCCTAGACTCTGACTGCCAAGCAGCGCGCGAGGTGGAGTGGAGCTGCGCTTCAAGTCGCAATCGCTTTGACCATCTCGCAAACATGCGCATACACGCGCTGCTGATGGCTACAATCGTGAATGGCGGCGGATCGTTCAGGAGTCAAAAAGAGTACAAGACGTGGGGGCGGCGGCAGCTGGGCAAGACTCTGATCGTGGTGTGGTGTGGTGTGGTGTGGTGTGGTGTGGTGTGGTGTGGTGTGGTGCGTGTGCGTGTGCGTGTGCGTGCGTGCGATGATGATGCTTGGTGCGCGTGAATGTGAATAGGCTGGCGAGGCAAGGCATGAGGCTAGAAAGCTTGATGGTCGACGGCGACCAAGCAGGCGACGCCCAGTAGTGTGAGTCGAGAAATGGAGAAATCGCAGGAGAATCACAATCTTGAATCAAGAATTACTTCTTGACTTTTAGGCTGGATTTGTATGTACAGTATGCATCTATTATATATCTGCATTTGGGTGTCCTTCATTCACGTGATTTCACCACCACTCGACACGTGACACTCAAGAGACAAGAAACTATTCAATTGAAGAAACCTTTACGATTCATCAGACTTCAACTTCTTGGGCGGTATGTATGCTCAAGACTAATATGTGTGGGTACAACGGCGCAAAGCCTTGCATTCGTGGAGTCGAGGTCACGTTGAAGGTCGCAAGAACGTCTTGTAGGACGCTGGGCTGAGAGCGCGCAAAGGGATGCCCCTTGAGCGAGGGCAGCGACTTTGACTTGTGCCCTTGTGGGCTGCTGCGTGCCTGTACAGGGGGGGTCGCCTAGCTTGCTGTCTGAGGTAGTCGAGATTGTCATCTCGAATGATCCTTGTAACTTTCGAGGTGAGAATTGTGTATTCTCAAACGCAAGCGTCAAGGCGCGGCCGGCGCACACCTACACACACACGGGCGCACTCTGCAATTCGAATACCAACCCCCACAGCGTCATGGTTTGAAATTGTGGTAGATTGAAGATTGTACAATGACGCTTCATATAAGCAGTGTGCGCTGCGCGTTATTCTTGCACTCTCCCAAAAGAGGGAGATGCGAGCATTCACGAACACGAGTGCCCCGTCACGTTTTGTGTTGTCTGTGCCGCCAAGTCGAGCGAGTGGTAATGATTGGCGCAAAATATTTTGCTTGATAGGCTAGTCGGGACACGTTGGGGTCCCCATTCACATCGACTCGAGCGCCCAATTCAATTCAACTCTTGACCTTTTTGTTCTCTGCAGGTGCGCTGCCCGTTCCAAATTTTTCAGCCCTCTTTCTCTTCTTCTCCTCCTCCAGCGGGTCCACAGGTGCAGCTGCGACGATAGCAGCAGCGGCAGTAGCAGCGCCTTTTTTTGCGTCGACTTGACCCGCCGACGATGCCCCTTTCGCTGGCTCTGGCAGCCCCCACCTCTTTGCGCGAGAAGCCTTGGCAGCTTCATCCGCTTCTTGACGCGCTTTGCGAGCTGCAGCTTCTTCCGGCTGCCAGAGAGTGAGGGGACGAGGTAAGCAGATGCACGTAGGGGCCATGGGGGGCCGAGACGCACAAGTCGCAGTGGCATACGCCCCTCATCCACCATCGACAATCTCCCCCAAAAACCCGCTCCTACACTCACAGTCTCTGCCTTTTTGACAGTGGCAGCACTCGCTTTGCTCGACTTTGTCGCGCTCAAAGCCTTATCCAATGCCACTCCACCCTTTTTACCATCCACTTTTTGCACCTCTGCACCTCTCCTCGCCTCCTTCTTCTGCTTGCCAATCTCATCCAAGCCCTTGCTCAACAACGCAGCAGGCCCAGCTTCCTTTGCGCTTTTGCTCTCCAAGCCAAACTTTTCAATGCGCTCAATCTGAGCATCCAGATCCCTCGTCGACTCTCCGAACCTCGCCTGACGAGCTCTGCGCCGGTTGAGATCCGCCAAGAATGTCTTTGTCTCCTCTTCGCTCGCTTTGGCGTGCACGGCGGGTGTGGCAGCGACGGCTACGGCTTGCGCATCAGGCTTGACGGCATGCGCCGCTTCGTTTGGTAATGCTACCAAGTCCGACTCTGTTTGCGCCTTGTCGTCGTCCGCACCCGGCAGGTTGGGTGCATCCTTGATGCCTCCTCCACCACCACCACCACCATCAGCAGCAGCAACTGCCGCGCTATTCTGCAAGCCCAACTCGCTCTGCAAGCTCAAGCCGTTGAGCGAACCCTTTGCGTGGGATTCTAATAGCCTTGCAACGAGATCCGCTTTCACTCCAGTCTGTGCCAGATTTGCCCGTTGCAACAGAGCTTTGAGCTCGGTCACCTTGAGGGATTGCAATTTGGACTCCATGCTGTGCGTGAGTGAGTGAGTGAGTGAGTGAGTGTGTGGGTGGGTGTGGGGTGCGTAGATGAAGATGAGCGAGGGAGAGAGCGAGCGAGCAGTCGCTTTGGATGCGTATATGGTGTGTGTGTGAGGGGCTGCGTTGATGGCGAGTGGCGAGTGTAGCTGATGGGAAATGTGATGCTGATACGGCAAGAAGCAAGCGGGCGCGGAGTTGTAAAGGCTACAGTACAGGTACCTGTACATGTACATGTACAAGCGGCGATGCTGGATGGATGCGATCCGCCACGCACGCACGCACGCACGCACGCACGCACGCACGCACGCCTCTTCTGCGGTGGGTACGGGTACGGTGTACGCGACCACGGGAAACGCGCGTCCGTGCGCAGGGCAAGTCCAAGTCATAGTCAAGAGTGCGGGGGCGCGAATTGATGAAGGAGTGAGTCACGTGTCACGTGTCACGTGTTGAATCGGCGGACGATCAATTTGAGTTTTGAATGCGGGGGCGGGCCGAGTGCAAGCTGGCTGTCGGGGTGCGTTGCGTTGCGTTGCGTTGCGGTGCGGTGCGTTGCATGCATGCACGCGAATCAAGAATCATCAGAATCTAGGCTTTGTGAGTGGAAGAATGGGCCCTGCATGAGTAGGTCCGCTGGGAATGAGATTAAGACTCGGGGTGGTGTTGCAAGTCAGGCTACGAGTGTTGAGTGAGGGTTGAGTGGACGTGGATGTGGATGTGGTGTGCGAGTGCGTGTGAGTGAGAGAGTGTGCTAAGCCAAATCAATCACGACGTCCAAGTCACCCCGCCGCCAGCACATGCACTTGCGCAATCATCAAATCCAATTGAAATCACAATTGAATGGCGAATGGCCAATGTCCAATTGAGCAGCGCCGATGTGTGCATGTACAGTAGTACTAATATGTGTGCATTCATTCACTCATTCACATCAGCATATCATCCCGCGCATCCATTCCACGCTCCCCATTCCACACTCATCTCGCAACTCATCTCCCCCAGCATCGCATCCCACGCAAAACAAGTATACCAGCGACATTCCACGCATTCAACCGGCATCTTCCCTCCCTTCCTCCCCCACCATATGCTAGCTTCAGCTCAGCTCACTGACACCAGCGCATCCCAAGCCTCTCTCGCTCTCAACGCCGCTCAACATGGGCTTCGAGGATGTCATGGCCCACGTTCAGGTGAGCAGCATCAGGCCAGCTACGTGGCGAGTGGTATGCTGGACTTTTTCTTTCTTTCTTTCCTTCTTTCTGCCCGCCCCCCTCCCCCTCCTTCAATTAGAGCGCTACGTACAACGTCGCGCAAGGTTCCGATCTGCTATCCCGCCTCCTCACGCTCGAGCATGGAAATCAGAGCAGCGCATCCTACCCGGGTTCAGCTCGCTCCTCTCTAGCTGGTACTAGCGCAAGCTCGACCGGCACAGGAATGTCCAAAGCAGTGTCGTTTGCCGCGTCTAGTCAGTCTAGAGGCGTCGCAGGTGGAGTGGACAAGATGGTGGAGGCGGCCATCGCTGTGAGGGACGCTAGCAGGAGACAATCCATCATGTCCACCTCTTCATCCAATCAAGACTCGTCCACTCGCATCGTCGCGGACAGCAGCGGTGCCAGCAGCAGCAGCAGCAGCAGCAGCAGCAGCAGCTATCCGATCACAGGCACTCGTCTCCAGGGCTCGCTGCAAGTGCCAGGTGGACTGTTGCTGGGAGCCATCGAGGATCAAACGACGCCCACCGCTCGTCCAGCAGACTCGCGATGCGCTGGCAACGGTGCTGCTGGACCTGTGCTGGACCACGGCAGCATCAATGAATTGCAGAGCTACCCGTTCACTTTTCCCGCATTCTCTCATCAAAACGATGGTATGGATGTGGATAGGCGCGCTAGCTTGGACGCTCACGATGCCCTCAAGCACCAGACATCTGCCGAGTCCCTGTTGATCGATCTGGAGCAGAGGTACCTCTCAGCCAAGGGCCAAGTGAGTGCTGCGTCGATGAACCTTGGGCATCGCAAACATGGCGTTCGGTTTGCTTTGCGCGCTGCAGCTGATGCAGCAAGCCGCATCCTCCTTCTCTAACGCGGGCGAAGTTCGAGGCTTTAAAAGAAACGATGGGGGTGATTTACGCTTCCTTGACAGAAGCCATCGCATCTGCTAGACGCTTTGCCCGTTGTGCTTCTAGCGGTGCAGGATCTCTGTTGTTGGATGGCAAGCAGAGCGAGAGGATGCACAGCAGGTTGAAGGAACACTTGACCGTTCAGAGGAGCTACTTCGACGAAGCTGCGGAGCTCGTGCAGTGCTGCTGCAAAGGTGAGCCAGCCAGCCAGCCCCGCATTGCACCCTTTTGCCCACGTCTCTTTTCATTCCGCCGTGCGGCTAGCGCTAACTAGCATCGCTCCGCCTCGCCTCTGGCCCCAAATTGAAGCTGGCATACGGACCAAAGCCATCCGTGCGGATCTGGCAAAGCTCAGAGGAGCTTATTCGGAGCTTTTTGAGGTTCTCGAATCTTACGACGAGACGGACGAGCGGATAGAAGGCTTGGCGAGCGAGATGGAGCAAGCTTGTGATGAGCTGCTGGCTCGCTTGCTCGCAGCGGATCAGGGCGGTGGTACGACGGAGGAGGAGGAAAGAAAGGAGGAGGAGGAGGAGGAAAGGGAGAAGGAGAGAGCTGTGGAAGGAAAGCAGCTGGGTCTCGTATCGTATCCCGACACCTAATGTTGAAAGAAAACAAGCACTTGCGTCCCTTGCATTCTCGCCCCCCTTCTTGGTGTTAGGCTGCTGCAAGTTTTGAAGAAGGTGGGGCGAAAAGACGCTCTAGACGACAATGTGAGACGCAGGGCCGTTCCATTCGTGGCGCATGCTTTGGGCGCAGTGATGATGTTGGTGGCGCCCGTCCAGCGCGGGTCTGACATGGGCTGCTGCGATGACCTTCGCATGTTTACGTCATTCAAAAAGCGTGTACGAATGCGAAAGGGGGGAGGGGGTGGGGCGGCATCAAGGCGTGTGGTGTTGCTGGCCGCTGCCAAGTTTGAAGTCCCCCCACCGCGTGCGTGGAAAGTCTTGAGGGAGGAGGTTAGGGAGCGTGGGCATCAGCGTGAGTGGGTGTATGGCCATTTGCTTGTCCTCCATCCATTCATCCATCGACTCAGACTCAGACTCAGACTCGAGA